TGAAGTAATGAAAGTCTGCTCTTTTAGTTTCTCTCACGACCGGTAACAGTTTCTTACCAATATGGTGTGTCCTAAACTATTTTAGGCTAATGGTAGAGCAAAAATAGGACTTATTTCACCCATTTCTTATGCTGTTTAACACATGAACAATAGCTGTATAATAACTGTGTTTGACCATAAGGTATTGCATACACAACTCATAGTAATACTTTACAAGTATGTGCCTATCAGTAGTATTTCTTAAGTAAGTTTCAGTAAGTTTTCCCTTACCTCACCATTTTTATAGATCTTTTCTTTCTCTTCCACATCTATTTTTCCTTATTGTTTACGAAGTAGAGTGTTCATTCCAGCCAGTCTGAGACAAAGAGGTGATAAATGAGCAAAGGAGCGAGGGCTGGGCAGTGAGCCGGGGCCGAACAAGAGCGTAAAGAGCTGATGCGGAGCGGGAGAAGGCAGCTAACGGGTGTGCGAGGGTGGATATAATGAGAAATAGGGGAGGTGGGTGTGGGGGAGTCATAAGCGTTGAAGGGGAAAAAACAAGAAAAGGTGGAGATATATATGAAAGAGGGAGAGCATTGCGACAGAGTGATGGAAAGTGAGGGTAGTCATAAATGGGAGAATGAATGAGGATGAGGGTGACAGGAGAGAGAGAAGGAAAGAGGAAGGCTGATAAAGAGGAAATAAAGTGAAAAATGAAAAAGATAGATGAGGTATGCTTGAAGGTCTTGGGACTAAGAGAAAAACAAAATGACTGCCAGAACAGAATTTTAAAACCAGCACAAGTGCACGTGTAAAGGTCCATGTCTGTGCTGACAATTAGCAGTCATCTCAGCTGGCAAGGCACTCGGGCATTCAATCATTCTCTCAAACGAAGAAGCACCTCTACTGACGTTCGTACGACAGCTGGTTGTTTCAATACGTTCGCTCTGACTGGCTGGATGAACTCAGCTGGATGAACTCAGCTGGATGTTGGGGTGCAGACAGCAAGCATAGCTGAACAGGAAGCCCAGAAGAAGACAAAGCCTTATCTTTACCTAATTTTTCAACATGAAAGTGTTGATGAAGTGGTACCTAAAAGAATAGAAATCCTACCAGAGGTGTGTAAAAGTGTGCAAGCAACACAGAAAGCCACCATTCTAAAAAGTATATTAAATTTTTGCTATGGAGATATAATAGTTTTTTTTTTCTGTCAACAAATTCAAACAAAAGCCCAGAACAAAACTGCTGCTCTCTAGTCTGACGATGGTGCATAGTTACCATACATTTGTGATTGGAGAGGAATCTTAACCAGAGACACACATATCAGGTGCCAGCTGCCATGCACCCCCCCCCCCCCCAATCTTATTAAACATCTAAAAATAAAACAGTTGCTTTTTTGTGTGCAGCATCTGCTGTTTTATATCAGTGGAATGTGACATTATATAAAATAATTTTATTTTGTGTGTAGAGGAGGTACAAATGCAGCAGATGTTCTCTGTTTTTAAAAATATCCACAGTGGCGTGAATGGGGCCTAAACCACTTGCATTCAGGTGTTATACAAAGTGGGCTTGTGATAATCAAATGGATTGAGGTTAGTACATAAAAACTTGTGGCAGGGAGATTAGTCAATCTAACAAATGCTCAGTGGTCATTTTGTACCAGCATAGTATGGTATGAGGTGTCCAAAGCCACAAAAGTATAAATGGATGGAAATAGGAATTAACTGGGAGCCACACAGATAATTACTGTTTCTATCTGTGGTCTCTGTGTTTTCTTGAATCATTTGGGGACATGTTTTACAAATGTTAAAACTAAAGCCCGACTGATAAATCGGTAGGGCCAATATTTTAGGCCGATATAGACGTTTGGAGTCTTATCGGTATCAGTGATAACGGTCCCATTATTCACCGATACAAACACATACAAATTTCACCCTAAGACACTGGAACCAACTTTAATTGTAAAATGTATCCAGAAGAAGGCACATGAAGAATACTTTCAAGTCATGGTTGTTCATTTTTAGTTTCACTTTCACATTCAGCACAGTTTAGGCAGGGAGAAACTGTATGTATTTTCCAGAACAGAGCATAGTGAGTTTAACTGATCTGCTGTGCTAAATGAACAAGCCCTGCTCCACTCATTGTTTTCTTAGATTCTTTGGGGCGGACAAAGCTCAAAAAGTTTCAGCCATTAAATTGGTTATTGACGGTAGACTTCACCTCCCAATAGCCGTATCTATTTTTTTCTTCTTTCGACTGCTCCTTTCCTCAGGGGTCACCACAGCGAACTAACTTGCACAAAGACTTGGCGATTGTTTTTATGCCACATGCCCTTCCTGACGCAACCACAGAGCTACCACAGCCCTCTGTGTGGAGCAGAGAGCTGCTATTTAGGGCATCTGGGGGAGCAGATGGTGGGGGTTAAGGGCCTTGCTCAAGGGCCCACTGGGCAAATGAGGGTGGAGGCAGGTGTAGGTGCTTCACCTATCCCTCCCACGTTTTTGATGTTGTCAGTCCGAGGAGCTGAACCGGCGATCTTCCAATCACATGCTCACCTTCTCTAACCTCTGCGCCACCACTCCCTATATCCAGATATCCCAATATCCGTATCTATGATAGCCAAAATTTCCATATCGGTCAGACTCTAGTTAAAACAAGAATCCTCTATATATTTGATTGGGAAAATTTTCAGTTGTTAAAAAAATACATTTACTGAGTTTAATTCAATTTAATGAGATTTTACAACAATAACATGCTTTGGGAATTACCAAAAATAAATTGTGCCTAAAAATATTGTTACAAAGGAACGTGCCACATGCCTGTATAACACTGTTACAGCAGCTCTAATGTGACAGTGGAGAGACATGGCACAAGAGAATACACTAAAGTACAAGATTTGAGAAGACATGTTCGTAGGATTTAACTGAACAGGCTTATCTAATTTTATGCTTTTTTTAATTTGTGCAGTCTTACTTGTCTAGCACCAGTAAAATTCATTTTTAGGCACTTTACAAAGAGGACAAGCTAAATTTTAGAATGAACGAAAACACTGTCCGATTCATATCAATTAGTCCATTTTGACCCTTTTCATCAGAAATGTAGACTCCAGTTCAAATAATTGATAATAAATAATAATAGTGATGATGATGATGATGACAAAGATGCTGATGATATTAATAGCAGCACGGTGGCTCAGTTGGTAGAGCTGTTGCCTCTCAGCGAGAAGGTCGCCGATGCAAATCCCGTCCGGGGGACCATTCTGGGTGGAGTTTGCACATTTTCTCTATGCATGCATGGGTTTTCTCCGAGTACGCCGGTTTCCTCCCACAGACCAAAAACATGCATGTTAGGCTGATTGGTAACTCTAAATTGTCCCTAGGTTTAAGTGTGAATGGTTGCTTTTGTCATGTGTCTCTGTGATGGACTGGAGACCTGGGTGTCCCTCACCTCTCACACAGTGACTGCTGGATATGGACACCAGTGACCCCCGTGACCCAAAAAGGAAGAAGCAGGTAAAATATAATGGATGGATGATTGGATATTAATAATAATAATAATAATTCATCTATGCCAACCCCTCCTAAATGCTGGGCTGACTTTTTATCTTTGTGCTTTGTTCTTCCCATTGCGCCATGCTGCCTAACTTTAATCTTTGGATTCAATCTACGGTTCAGCTCATGCCTGCCTACAGACACCACTGACACTTAATTGTCAGACATGTTTCACTCTTTATAACTTGGGTTTAACAAATTAGCTTCAAAATAAAGCTGATGTCTTGACTCCTATTTCTTGTCCTTTTGATTTGGTTTTTTACTACACTACCACTTGATCCAAGGGGTATGCTAAAGGAATATGTGAGAAAATGAATGTTACAACATTTGTTCTGCCACACAGCTGAGTTTGACCTCTCGGGAGCTTCCGCTTCCTGGCATTCTCGTTGGGCATCGGCCAAGCCACAAGGGGAAAGCAGCCAAGCTCTGCTCATGTATACTTTGCATTAGTGATGATACCACATCCGTATTCCCCGCACATCCTGCTGCAGACCCCGAACAGCATATGGTGCTGAATATGGTGCTGAATATGCAGTGATGAACAATGACGCCCTCAATATGATCCTAAAGTCTGTCATGTGTCATTCTTCTAAAAGTTGGCACTGTATGCAATTCTCTGAATTTCAGAGTCAAAAGGTGCAATAAATCTAACGTGAATGTGAAGCTGTCTGTCAGTCCTTGAGCTCTGCATGAATCATACCTGCATTCAATCATCATCACAAGGGGCAACATTTGAGTGGCTGTAATAAATGTGCCTGGTTGGAATCCTTGAACTGATCCAGGGGTTTAAAGTTTTAGTTAGTAGGGCCAAAAATCAGATGCATCATTTAACTGTTGACAAAGAGATAGATAAAGGCTGGAGACAAGACTCGCCGTGCAATACTAGTGAGTCAAGGTTAAAATCATGCCCCGATTGAGATTTTCGGGTGTTCAGGCAATCACAAAAGGAGGAGCACCGTACGGCAATGTGCTTCTAAGAAAGACACCAATGCAGAGAGACAAGAAGCAGCTACACAGAGGGCTGTAATAAAGACACACAGGAGGTATTTCACACAGAACAACAGAAAAATGAATGTCCTTGGTGTCAAACCGAGCTTTGTTTTTGTCATGTGCTGATTTACTGGATACCTGGACCAGCGATTCTTGTATTGCTGCCACTCTTTCTGAGCTGTCATCCCGATGTGATACTGGCAGTCATGTTCGATGATTAACTCCTGGGATTTCATGCCACAGGTGAAGAGTAACAAAAAATGTATGAATCGAGCGGTTCTCATGGAGAGTCTACTGAACACTGGCTGTAAGTCGGCCACAGTCGAACAAAAAGAGTTGTTCTTTGTCGCTCACTGTGTGACTGCTTGCAGTCTTTGACTTTGAAGGTTCTCAGTTGTCCATATTTTAAAGTTCTCCATTGTGTCAAGAACATTTCTTTAATGGTTTCATCACTTCTTTGTAGTCTGTTTTTCTGATGATGGCTTTTTGTTGGTCTCAGGATCTGAAAGAAGCACAGTTACTATACGTTTGGTGATTGTAAGAACCAAATACAACAGGTCAAAAATCCTGACCCTAACTACACTAAAGTTTTCTTATATTTTTAAATTTTAATTTATTTTCTGTTGTAGAAGAAATGCTTCAGTGCAGAAAAGCAATAAAAAACACAGAAAAACCAATGCCATGCCATTAAGTAGATAAATAATGATATTTTGAATTCAAAAGAAAACATTTTGAGCATAAGTTTTCCCTATAAACCTTTGTAGTGACTTATCTTTGACAGTGTAACCTGAAGATGTAATCCCCTGACTTTGACCCCTGACCCTTGGGTTGTTTTCCTGACTCACCATAAACTGTGTTCTTAAAGTGTTCTAAACTTGAATAATGTCTGGTGTTTTTCACACATTCCCTGTCCTTGGACTGAGTTATAGTCTAACTAAAGTTTACCATTTCTTCTATGCTTTTAAGAAAAAAATAATTAATGAAGTTAGTTTTATTTCATTATGTCAAGTGTGAACATGAATAGTGTTGATTATTGTTTAATCATTATAATGGAATCATGTGAAATATTATAATGTGTTTAACATATTTCTCTCGTTCTGTTTTTCAGAAAATAACTTCTCCTTCAGAAACATCTCTTGTTCTTTCTTTGAGCTGGAAGCTGTTTTCTTTAGAGGGGAGCCATAATGTTCCCAAGAATTAGCCTCACACGGGGCACCAATTATTTAGCAAATATGACGTGATGGAGGAAGAAGGGTGATGCTTGTTCCTCAACTTCACTATGCTTGTTTACTTAATTTGCACTTGTTAAAGCGGGGCACCAGCTGGTCTATTTATTTGACCAACAACTTAATTAATATATTCACGCTTTAATAATCAAAACTCAGTTACTGAAGTAGAATCCATTAATTACATGGAATTTAATACCATAACAAATTAACATTTATCTAACTGAAGAGACCAAAGTTGTCTTTAAAGTTTTATTACAAAATAATTAATCAAACTAAGAATCATCAACAATAATACATAATCAAACATCATAAGTGATCAAGGATAATAATTTGTAGAATGACTGGTTTTAAAAGTAGTAAATCAATAATGAACAATCTAAACAATAAATAATCAGTTGATGCTTAATTCTGTTTTAAATAAGACAAAATTATCTCTTTGGGCAGGAATTATTTTTGATTTTCTAACCCTCCTCATTTTTGCAGATGACAAAAATACGTAGTGGAGATGAAGAACTTTTGTCCCTACACTGTAACCGCATTCAATGGCTTTGAGAATTCACAGGCTTTGAGAATTCACAGGCTTATTTATTAAACAGTTGATGTGAAGTAATGAGTTGCAGCATGTCCTCTTCCACTGAAAGGAATTGAATGAAGATGCAGGGCTGTTTATTGTGTGTAACAAATTCCACGTATACAGTGTGTTAATATTTGCCATTCGGGAGAATGGTAACATGACGTATTAAAAAAAAAAAACCCCTCAATTTTGATAAACTGTACACTAGTCCTTGACCCTGTTACCCTCAGTGTAGTCTGTATGACTGAGAAAATGTTTAAACCATAAACTATCCATTAGCTCAGTAAAATATGACAATGGAAAATAAAACTATTTATGAATAGGAAACTAAAGGTAAAAGACTTATGTACAGCATGATGAGATGAGCTTATCGCAGATGATGACTGATATAAAATCCTCACCTGTCCTGAGATCTAAGGTTTGTTATTGCAGAAGGCGTTAGAGGGTTGGTCCTAGACATTGCTGCGCAGTAGCCCCCCCTGTGGATGCTCAGGTGTGCTGCACTCTGAGGAGTTCTTGGCTTTGTCCTTGTTGTTGTTGGGCTCATTGTCTTTGATGATGTCATACTGGCGACAAAACAAGGCGATCACCCCTGAGAGATGGCAGAACATCAGCATTATTTTAACAACAACAAACCTTTTAACATGTGACCAGTGGGGGCAAAATGAGTCACAAAGATAAATTTTTTAATACTGAATTATTATTTGTACATTTTCCATCACTAAAGCTTGAAAATTACAAGTAATGTGTTCAAAATTTACTATCTAGCCTGACAACAAGCTTGTTTTGTTCAAGAGAACTGGTTTGAAAATTTGATTTTTATCAGTCTGGAATGATGTCATCAGAATTTCCAACCCTAGATTTAAAAAGGGGATATACCAAGCTTCACAAAAACGGCAAATATTAAACAAAGGGATTTCCCTGCACTACGGCAGCTGGCAGAGGAAAAATTACCTATCTTAAAGGAAATTCAAAGACTTTGAATTACAAAGATTATTAATAATGACATCCCTGCTATAAAACGTTAAGTCAAAAGTGGAGTAGGCAGATTATTTGCTAATGCTAATTACTGTGATTGCTAGATGGTGTCTTAGCAGACTTATTTTATGCACATTTCAATTAGGGCAAAAATCCTTATTTTGCAGTGGGTATAGTATGGACAGTGCTCCATACTATCTTAAAGAACTGCTCAATGCTCAGATATCAACATGATACCTCTGCTCCACAAATTCCTACCAGCTCCGCCCTCCCCCGATAAAACTGTGCACCATAGGTGACAGGACCTTTTGTTCTGCTGCTCCTTGTTTGTGGAACCCCCCCCCCCCCCCACCACCACCACCACACACACACACACACACACACAACCATCTAAGGCACATGTGTCAAACTCAAGGCCCGCGGGCCAGATGTGGCCCGCCAT